CACACACACACACACACACACACACACACACACACACACACACACACACACACACAGTTGGTGTTAACATATGTCTGTTGGAAATAATTACCCAATTCCCACACTGCCTGATAAATGGTGTCACCGCACCATCATTCAAACCTTCACCTGCCTTACCTCCTTCCTACATAAAGATTATATTCAAAGCTGTGTGTGAGTGGAGGGTGAGAATTAGTGTCTTACGTGGTAAACAGCTTAAGTTTGGACTCGATGCTCCGGTGTCTCATACACATCCTGGTTAGCGCTGAGCCTATCTCCTTGGTGGCACCTGGAACAATCAGAAAATAACTTATTTTTAAAAAGAAAAGAAAAAAATCAGAATAGAGTTAATTTTAAAGTGCTCACAAAATTTAATAATAAAATGTAAATAAATTACATTCCGGTATTTGGCATTACGGTATATAGCTTATATAGTTGTTTTCTATGAGATTAACTGTACAAATGGATACAGAGAACCACAGGAGTTATCAGTCACGGCTCTATTGATCTATAATTCCTAACAAGTGTTAGTGTTGTTTTTTTAAGGGTCCAACACTGCTGATCAAAAAACACAAGAGGAGAAGAGCAATCTTCCTTTCAGGACATGATTCCTGCACCAAGGAATTCTTTTCCTTTTTTTTAATCCACATAAAAACAAAAAGCTTCAACCAGACCTGACGGAAAATGAATTAAAATAACACAGAACAACATGTTTTTACAGTTTTTAATAAAAACAGTAAAGATATCTTCACCCAAGCATTTATTAATTTCTTTTTTTAATCTGAGAAATAGTACTTTGTGTGAGAAGCACAGTCAGTGGCTTTACTGCCTGGGACTGATCATTGTTACGGATGGAGTCCACCCCCACGCTTAAGTTTCCTGTCCGAGTCAGGAAAAACCCATCTTAGCTAACTAGCTAGTCCAGCTCTGTGGTCTTCAAACATTTTTGTGCAGAGGCTGATCATTAAGGAAAACCAGGATTTGCCAGTAATGCAAAAAATCTGTGTGTTCATCAATACGCACACCTGTTGCTATGCATGCTCTTAGCATGAATTAAATAAATTGACATGTAATCCACATTATTAGAGAGATTTGGTTGGATTTTGTTGGTATTTGCTGACTGTATATTTGTGAAAGACATCAAAGGAGCTGCTGAAAGGCCAGACATAAGACAGAGTCAACACCTCTGTCAGTTTAAAAGGAGCTCTTATCACTGCGATTTTACCCAGATGACTATCATCAATGTGGCGACTTTTATTTATTTATTTTTTTAAAGCTTTTTGCTGCTGCTGCTGAAAAACCAGTGAAGGAAATCTAGATCATAACCTAGATCATTATGAGCAGATGACAGGATATCTGTCAGGTTTTTGTATAACACACCACCTTAAACTTTCTATACTTCAAAACAACGTAAAGGCTCCAAAAATCTAAAGGTTTCTGAGCTCGGCTGATCTAAACGATATCTCTACATGGAACTAAACAGAATTTCCACATCATGATTTTGAGTGTCTGGCAACCCTTGCAGTAGCAATTTATGTCTGATTGTCCAGATTTATATTAACATACGTAGTGAAGACATAGGAGGACTTTGACAAGAGGTATTAAGTGTATTTATGTTTCGCCAGTAGAGCTGAATTTGCTCACTAAGTTGCAGTCATGACAACAGACAAAAACTAATCAATGAAAATTATCAACAAAATCGAACCGGTCATAAAAAAGCTAAATGAAGTTTAAAAAGTCTAGTAAAGAGCTTGAAACATACAAATGCTAAATAAAATAAAAATGGTGAATAGAGTAAAACTGTAGTAGAAAAAAATTCTGAGATGAGTAAATGAGTTGTTGCCCGTAGCCTGCATGATCTGCAAAACACAAAAACAGGAGCTGAACTGAAGCTCTTGAACATTGTAGCAGTTTGTGTGAGGTTGTTGCTTCATTAAAGGCTATTTGGAAATCAATCGGATTAAAATCCTATGACGAGTGGTGTAATGTGTGTTGAAATAATAGGGGTGTGTCTCATTTTGTTAAAAAATTATGTAAGAAAGACACCACCTCCTTTAATAACCAGTTTGGGTTTATATGATGTTACAATGTTAGCTTCATGCTGAAATGCCCACAAAAGCATGACAAATGCAAACACAGCCAGGACACATTTAAACACACTGACTAATACACATTTGATAATGAGCTTGTGTGCACATCAGGAGGTTAGCTCTCTCAGTCTCTTTCTCCATCTTTATATCATTTATAAAAGGTATTCCCCATTTTGCTCCCACTTTAAAGAACAATGATCTGAGTGGGTGAAAGCCCAGAGCTGTGATTTTTTCATGTTATGAATCAAGACATCATATATGAACACATCCATTACAATCTCCAAACCAGAAATAGAGAGAAGTGTTTGCATCTGTTAGTTTGATTGTATATTTAGGCTTGATGTAACACTATGTTTGCAGTAGGGATAAATACCAGAATAAATACCAATAGATGCCAAAATACTGAAAAGGCAGTGGTACTTGTTTTTCTTTGTTACCATAGTACCAAATGTACTGAGGTGACAGTTCTTCTAGAAATGAAACAGGCAGCGTACAGCTACAAGTGTTGTAGTCCAACTTTACTTGACGAAAAATAAAAAGATACCCCACAAGAACAGTAAAAAGTACACGTAGAAAATGGTGATTGGTGCAGCTGCCACGACAGCTCTGCTGCGACACACTGATAAAATTGATAAGGAAGGTTGAGCTGGCTAGGGAAGTAATTTGCATTTTAGGGGGAATGACCAAAGGGGTGAAACTGATTTGCAAAAGGAAATATGCAAATGATTTTATCGTGTATTTTGGATCAAGGGAGGAAATACTTACAATTTAGCAAAGCACCTAAAAGACCGACATCCAATATATGTTTTCCTGAAAAACATGTTATCATTTTGTTTGAGACAGCTGGCACTGCCGCTGTGAAATCAACTCTGCTCCATAGGCTAAATGTTTGCAATGCCTAGTATTAGATGCTTATGATAATGTAATGCAACTATAATATTAGCAAACTATCCTAACAATTCCATTAAAGCCTCTCCAACAAAATGTAATTAAAGATCTGCCACTGCGTCTATGTTTTAAAACAAGCTTTTAATAAAGGAGTTTTGTATGTGGGATGATCACTTTGTTTTGGTATCAAGTTGAGTGTCATGATTGAGGATCATGTAATTCTGGTGGAATTGATACTGACTACAAAATTTCTGGTGTTAAGACATCCCTAGTTTGGAGAGACTTTTTATTTTATTTTATTTCACCGGGATTGTTTTCGTCAGTAAAATGGTGAGGTCTGTGGGGACGCCACGGTGAGCCAATTTACACACAAAAACCAGACTAAAAGAGTTAGAACTACAGGCCCAAAAAAGAAAAAAAAAGTGAGGAGAAAAACCCACACAATTCAGGCAAGTTTTATGATTTAATAACATTTTAGCTGATCAGCTGAAATTAATTCAGTAGCCTAATGGTCACTAATTACAGTAGGCCTATTCATTCAAGGTTAAAAACAAACAACAAACAAAGCTCTCCTGCTGATATAGCTTCCTTTCCTTTCCTTTGTAAAGTAAGTAGGAAATAAAGTTCTCAGTGTGTGTCCATCTCTCTGTGGTTACACATTTTGCTTTTAGGCCACCCAGGACGCAGTATGAAAGATGGATACCACTGCCATTAGTGCAGTTTGATGGCATCTCTTGTCCAACTCTGGCAGCTATTTGTGTATTTCAGCAGGGATGACAGAATGACTAGACAATGAAGAAGCTTACGTAACCTTAGGACCACTTCAGAACATTTTAATAACACCATAGAAAACGCGTGAACGTAACACATCAAGTCAGTGTAACAGGACCAGTTTCTGTACTAAGTGTTTCTTAGTACAGAAATTACATGAGTTAAACTCATGTTTAAGAAACCAGCTTGAGATGATATGAGTGTTGTGGTATCCTGTTCAAAGCCGCCATTAAGAGATGAGTTCACTGTGGTCATATAGGGACAGACATGGTCAGCAACAACACTGTGAAAGGCTATGATGACTAAATCTTGCTCAGCTGCCACCATGAGGCTAAAAACCACAGCAGCATGAGATGTTAATGCAATCATGACAGGTACCATTCTTTACTGTTTACACCAAATTGTGACGCTGTCATCTAAATGATACAGCAAAAATGTATACAGAGATGCTTATATGCATATGCTTGTATTATTAAAAGGAATA